GAGGAACTTTATATTCCATGAAAAAAAGCCCCATAGTAAGCCCTGTCCTGCATGTCTGTAGAATAAATAATCATTATGGTCACTGAAGTAGCAGTCACTGTATAACTTTATTAGTTGTTGCTGCAGCTGGGAAACAAACAGTTAAAACCCTGTGCTGTCCATGAGGGTCACTATCTGCTGAACTGGTGGTCTAGAAATCTGATAAGGATTTAGCTACACAGTGCACACTCCAGGAGGCACCAGGAGAAGTGCTCTGACAGTTCACACTTCACAGACTATGTATTCACATGTCCTGCATCTCCACCTGGGACCAGGAGCAAGTGTTAAAAAACGATCGTCCTCTAAGAGCAGAGGGAGAACTTACTGTGAGGAGCTTCACACACTGCATGACAGGCAGGCTCACAGCTATGGCCACAGTGCGGGCTCAGCAAGTGCAACTTCAAAGTCAGCAGCAGGGGGGCGGGGCTGACAATACGGCTACATCCAGATCTCTACAGACAGCCGCTGGAGCTGTTCGTATACTAGCACTAGAGCCACTGCACCCTCTGCCTGTAATTAACAGGCAGCGCTCCGTCCAGGACAGGTTACACAGCGGGGAGGCTTTCCCCACTTTGTAACCTGTTACAAGCCACTCTGAATGGAGAAAAAGCTGTCAAACTTGAAGCGGACAGCTTTTTCCTTCATAATACTAGGTGAGGCTCTGCTTCCCCTGACCGCACCTCCCTGGGGGAGAAAGTGAAGTCTCCATGTCAGATGGGTAAGTCTGTGCAGTGTCATATCAGCAACAAGCTTGCCAGGGGCAATCACTCTGCATTCACCTCTAGGCATCTTCAGGTATTTTAACTATTAACAATAATGTATCTTATTTGTGTATCACTCAGCTGTAGATCCTCAAATCATCTCTGAATTGGTGATGACACTGTCCTTCCTACTTTTGTTCCCCATGGTCCCTGTGTGTGTTGTAAAGTAGCCACCGCTCCAAGCTCACTCCCATGATGGACTACAATCTCAATACAAATTAGTAAACTAAACATGTGATTGCAGTCCATCAAAGGAGTGAGCTTGGAGTGGTGGATACTTTACAACAGGGGTGCCCACAATTTTTGTGTTAAGATCTTCTATTCAAATGATGAGCTACATGAGATCTACCAACGAAAAAAAACCCCTCACTCGCTCTGTCTCTCCTGGCTGTCTCTCCTCGCTCCCCTGGCTGTCTCTCCTTGTTCTCTCTCCTTGCTCATCCTCCTGGCTGTCTCTCCTCGTGCTCTCTCCGCTGGCTGTCTCTCCTCGCGCTCTCTCCCCTGGCTGGCTCAACTTGCTGTATTTTGCAATTTTGCCAACAGTGTAGTGCAACAGGCTGTGTAAACTGATGTAATACATAGCACTTCAACCACCAGTATCCACCAGAAAGGTGTCAGGGAGCTTGGCTCAGCAGACTCAGGCTTATAGGTAATCATGTGTGCACAGCTAAATAAATATACCAAAATGGAATAAAGGGGCCGCCATTCACACCCTTCGTGATCTACCAGCATCAGCTTTGAGAGCTACTGGTAGATCACAATCTACCTAATGGACACCCCTGCTTTACAACATACACAGGGACCATGAGGAACAAAAGTAGCCCCCCTCCAGAAGGAAGGACAGTGTCAGCACTAATTCAGAGATGATTTGAGGATCCACAGCCGAATAATACACAAATAAGATACATTTTTGTGAATAGTTAAGGTGCTTGAATGCATTTTTAGGATTTAACTTTTTAGTTTAGTTTAGTTTCACTTTAAGTTCTGAACGCTCTGCACTAATTGATGGATAACACGGTACTAGGGATGCACTGATACCACTTTTTTAAGGCCGAGTACGAGTACTGATACTTTTTTCCCAGTACTCGCCGATACCAATTACCGATACTTTTTCTTAACCAGTTGACATCCGCGGTGTTAAACCCCCTTCCCATCCAGGCCATTTGTCCCATCCAGGCCATTTTTCAGTATTCAGCGCTGCGGTACTTTGACTGACATTTATTCCGTCATGCAGCGCTGTACTGAAATGAATTTTATACCCTTTTTTGGGGACACATAGAGCTTTCTTTTGGTGGTATTTATTCACCACTGGGGTTTTTATTTTTTTATATATTAAGGAAAAATTACAGATTTTTTTAAAAAATAAACAGTTTCCCCTATATTAAATTCTAAAACATTTATAATTTCCCAATTTTTTGGTAAAATATAAAAGACGGGGTCTAGTCGGGTAAAGAGACACCAAGCATGTCAAGACTTAAAATTGCGCACGCCAGCGAAACCTCAAAAAAACTAAATTACCCAAAATTGGGCATAGGCAACGCATTAAAATCTTTTACCGCTCATCAGTTTAGTGTTATCAGTGATTGATGGCCCTAAAATGATTGCTTTCACTGCGACGTTCGCGGCGATATGTAACATGTGTCCTGTTATTTTTTTAAACTTTTTTTGTTTGTGACTTTTATTTTT